TGTCCAGGAGGTATCTGGTAACTATATCTACAGATCATATCACAAAGTTGAAAGGCATAGGCACAATATAAAATTCAGTGATTCAAGTGGAAAATGACTTTGACAAGGAATATGATATGAACTTACGGATCACATATTCCAGTTGTTGAATTCAGCTTTGCAAGAGGGCAATAAGATCCTAACGGGCAAGCTTCATTTCATATTTTGGGGAAAAAAAGTGAACGTGTTAGATGTAAGTTCGAATATTTCATTCAAGATTTTTGGACCAGCTACGTGAATCAAATTGTAATATAACACAACTGAATCATCAGAAATGTTGGCAGCTTGAAGGTTAAATAACAAACTTTAAGAAATATTTAGTCCAGAGTACAAGTATCTTCCTGGTAACGGAAATACAATGTAAACAAATTTTTAGCTCAAAATCTTTTATAACATAATCCAAATCTTTAGGAACGAGAATAAAGATATGGCATAACCCAAAATGAATCATCAGAAATACTAGCAAAGAGCTCGAAAGTTAAATAACAACTTATAAAAAATAAAGTGTCAAAAAGATCGAGTCCAGAGAAGACCAACATATCTTCCTGGTTAGGGAAATGTAATTTAAACACAGTTTTAGCATGAATTCATTTGTATATTTGTTAACAAAATTTCATTCTAGAAAGTATGAATTCTACGCCTTAAGGTTTCTAGTTACATTTGATTCACTAATAGTAATGAGGTTGTGAAAAACTGTGGGGAACGTAGTCTTGAAAACAGGTGTAATTTCATCAAGCACAGGATTAAGAGGGCAGAAAAATAACAAGAGGTAATTTAATCACAAACTTACGTATCATGCATGTAAGACCCTGAGGACAAAAGAAACCCTCACAACAAGATTGGCAATTTTCAGTTCTAGAAGGAACATCCGTAGTTTTGGGGTCAACCTTGTTTTCGCCAAGACTGCAACTCCAACCTGGTTCACATCCAGAAGCCCACGAATTTAAATTGCAGTTCTTGTTAGGTTTTATGTAAGTGAACGTGACCCCTGAAGTAAGCTCCTTCGTACGGAAACTGCTGAAGAATAATCTAAGCTCAGCTGCTGTACACAGTCGTTGTGTAATATCTCCTGTTGAGAAATAAATATATGCCGTTAGGTGTAGAGGAAAAGTTGTAAGAAGTAGGAAAAAGTTCATAAGGGAGGAATGCAAATAAAAAAGAATGATGATAAAATTGAACTCAATCAATTCAACTAGCTCAACCCTTTTCATTTGAATTTATAATGAGGTCGTAAAGATACAAAGACAGACAGCCACTGACATCTAAAAGAGATAGATATATTATCTATATTCTATTGCAATAATGATTACAGTAATTATTTCTTAATTTAGAGTTCTTAGATAGTTAATACTCCAATGGGTTGCCCACTAAAAATAGAGAGGGTTGAAAGCACCACCTGATCATTATCCCCACAAAACGATTCAACCTAAAAACTCTTCTACACAGATTAGACTTTCCAGTTAAAATCTTCTTTTTAGAGGATTGTATACACCCTCTAGTCTCATATTTAGTAGTTTTCGAACTTTTTTTTCTACTATGTTGAATATCATTTAAAAAGAATATCATTTTTGTAACCGTCCAAGCCCACCGCTAGTAGTTATTGTCTGTTTTGGCCCGTTACATATCGTTGTCAACCTCACAGTTTTAAAACACATCTACTATGGCGAGGGTCTAGCCCTACTCCGAGCAATGTTTCACACCGTCCGGTGATTGACTTTGATACCATTTATATCAACCCAAATGGACAATATCTTTTAGCGGTGGGCTTGAGTTGTTACAAATGGTATCAGAGCCAGGCACCGGGTAGTGTGTCAGCGAGGATGTTGGGCCTCCAAGGGGGGTGGATTGTGAGATCCCACGTTGGTTGGAGAGGGGAACGAAACATTCCTTGTAAGGGTATGAGAACCTCTCACAAGTAAACGCGTTTTAAAATCGTGAGGCTGACAACAATACGTAACAGGTCAAAGCGGACAATATCTTTTAGCGGTGGACTTGGGCCGTTACAATTATGTGAAAACGAAGAAAGATACAATTAGATACACCAAATTGAATGCACCTTTTCTCGTTATCCTAATTTTTCACAACCAGGTCGATCACCCCTCAACCAGACCCACCACACCTCAAAGACTAAAATGACATCAGATGATACATTCAAGGATTAAAAACATATAAAATAATGATTAGCCTAAACCTTCCTATACAATTATAAAGAAAATAAACTGAACTTAGAATATCGTACCATTTGTCATCTTAAGACACGAAGTCAAGAAATCAACGTTGCCCTGATAATTGAAAGCACCATCCCAATCGGAATCCCTAGAAGAAATCAGAGGCCAACAGAGTTGAGAACTTGAATACAACAAAACAGTAAATAAAAAACTGGATCAGATAAATACGCACAAATCCTTTACACAGAACCCCCAATTTGTCCCAATGTCATTGCTTATAATGCGTGTCATATTCGTGAGTCGGCCATTAACTATCTGTGTGATAGAAGAAATCAAGGCCGGGTCAGCATCCGGACGATAATCCTCTTCATCCACGCAACGAATGGACGGAAATAGACTCAGAACGACGACTATAAGCAACAACATAAGAGCTAAACAGCGTCTGGAAATCTCCTTTATACGCATTTCTTATAGCTCAAAATTCCGCAAGAGAAGTTGGCATAAATAGCTAAAGATACAATGATTCAAAACCATGGCAATATAACTAATACTCCTAGGTTTCCATCGCAAGCAGGAAAGCAGAGCGAAGAGGAGAATCCAAGCGATAAGAAAGAGATGGATAGTCGTTGAGTTGATTGAAGAGGGAATAAGGTTAAGGGTATCTGAAATTTCAATAGGGTTGTGGAAGAAGGAGCTTACAACAATGGAGGTGGAGAAATCGGAAAGACCCGCAGAAATTCGGTCAAAGGAAGCCATGGATGTTCCAAAGGAAGTCCTGATTTGGGGATGAAGAAATGGCGAGGAGGAATGGGTGGCTAAATTGATGGGGGTGGGAGAGGCTGAACTACGCCAGAATTTCAGAAGAGTTTGTAATTTTTTTCATGTACGAATGAATTTTGTCGATGCAATGTGGCGCGAGATAAACAGCCGCTTGTCGAACCATTATAACCGCCAATAACACGGTTCAACCACTCCGGTCGAGTCGACCCGGTTTATTTTTATTTTTTATTTTTAGGGGAAAAATCAATTTCTACCTGTATCAATAAAAAATTATAAAAACTTTTAATTTTTTAATTATAATAGATGATTACCATAATTGATAAAAACTATAATCTTGTTTCAAAATTTAATTTTATTAAAAATATCTAAATTAATGGACTAAATTAATAAAAATATCTCGTGTTTCAATAATACTTTTCAACTTTAAAAAATAATAATAATAATAAAAATAAAAACAAAAAATATTCAAAAATATTCTTAAAACTTTTAAAAATTTTAATAATGTAAAATTTCAAAACCATCTTTTTTATCTCTTCTTTTTTTTTAATATTAAAAAATTCTCTTACTTAGTATATTATTTAAAAAATATTTATCAACTTTAAAATAATATTAATACCTTTGACCTTTTAAAAAAATAAATAAATAAATAAAATGTTTATAGATAATTTATGAAGTATAAATATATAGTCTATGTTCGTATATTAATGGTAATAATTTTTTTAACGTTTTTTTATACGATAAGGTAAATGCTATTTTTAAAATTCCACTAATATTTTTTAAATTAAAATTTACAGGTATTGAAAGTTTAAAGTAATTTTAAAATAAAATATTAGAAATCTTTCTGTAAAATTATATTTTTATTTTTTATTAAATTTAAAAATATTATTGAAATTTTTAAAATTATTTTAATCTTAAAAGGTCGTAGGTATCATTTAGACATGTGTTTCTTTTCCATGACGTATTATCAACATTTTTTCCCAACGTAAATTTTATTAATTAGTTTATTTTCGGTGCACGTGCATATTTTTTCTAAATAATAGTTAGCTTTTTTAAATGGGGGAAACTCCCGTATTAATTAAGCTTAAATGGGTGCATTAATTGATTTAAGTTGAAACTTAATCGATTACTTTTAGCAAATCTTATAATTATAATTAATTAATTTAATAATAATAATTTACCTGTAAAAAACAAAATAAATAATATGAATACATTTGCAAAAAATTTATAAAGAAAAGTCCATTTTTGTTAGAAATTTAACAATAAACTAACAAGAGGAATCATTTACTAATTTTAAATATTTTAAATTATAATAAGTAATATGAAATAAAACTTAAACTATCACCAAAATTATAATTTAACCAAAAAAAAAAATTAAAACAAAAATGAGACAAACTTGAAAATTTAAATAACTAATAAAATGTAAACACTTTTTTTAATCAAACCCAATCTATTTAAATACTTTTTAAAAAAATATTGATTATTTTTAATTAGGTTCAATTTATTTTATTTAAAATCAAGCTAATACTCCTATAAAATTACTATTTTCTCTCGGTAACATTTTAAAATTCCAAATCTATCCTTTTCATATATTTTTAACATCTACTCCCATATATAAATATCGAAGTATTAAGAATAAAAAATAGAAATAGAATTGAGATCGAAAGTATGATCTTCATTAATGTTTACCATGTTTAAATATGATACATACTATCCACTAATACATTGTGAATAAATAAAATATACGGTTAATAACTCCCAACAATAAAGAAAAAATATTAATGATACAAATATACTTCCTAACTAATTATTAAAATATATTATCAATATATATATATATATATATATATATATATATATATATATTTTATAACTGTTTAAACAAAGTTACTTAAAAATTAGACCATATATAATTTAAAATAATAATTTTATAATAAATTTGTTAGAAGTAAACAAGATTTCTAAAACTACCAAAATCTCGGAGGCTAAGTGGAGCATTGACAGAGTTGCAGTGAGGGAAAGATCACGGCCGAAGATGGAATCCACTTCAATCCCATCCATGTTCACATTACTTCAAAAAATGGCGAAAAGGTAAGAAACTTTTTGGCTTTGGGGTTGGTGAAGCAGTTGCCTGGCTCCTTCCGCGGCTTCAATTCTGGTTCTAGAGGACCCCATTTGCAGCCATGGCGGGCCCTAAGAATTGCTATCGCTTCCCAGTGAGTTCTTTCCACGAACCTCATCTATTGACTTTGCCCATGTTTCTCAACTCCTCGCCTTCAATTTTCCCTGCCATTCTTCATTTCTTAATCAAGATTGTCGTTTTCATCTGTTAATTCTAGTTCCCGAACCAATCACTTGCTATTGAAATGATATTATGCACCGTAGAATCAGATTGCCCATTCGTTAATCTCGGTTCGTTAGCTGACCTGACCAATTGACTTATAGCTGCCGTGTGAAGACTCTCAAAACATTGCCGAGTCCGTCTTCTATCGTTCCTCAGTTTTCTACGTTATTTGGGCATTTTTCCCCCTGGGGTTTCTTCCAGAATTGCAAATTCGTTTGAATTCATGGTTCTTGCGATCCTATGAAAAGCGTAAAAGGTTCCATTCTCAGATTCTGCTCTTTTTTCTTTCTGTTGTTAATCTGTGGTGCTGTTCTCTTTTTGAATATCTTCACATGTTCTGTTTAGACGCGTATTTCTTTTTGTTATAACGGATGGGCCGATTTGAATAGAAGTGTTGTTTTCTTAATTGATTATTTTCTTGGGCGTTGAACTGGTTTATCATTTGGATTATCATGAAGAGTAGAAACTTGAAGCAGGTGCAGGAACTGGAATTCGGTGGACTCTGTTTTCTTTATCAATGGGAGAATTGTAGACAATTCTTCCAATTACATGGTGATCTAGTTTGTGGGTATTTTAGTGCTTGAAGCATTGTTGAGATTGGAAATCAAGGCTTGGCTTGGATTGTTGAACATTTTGTTACGTTCTCTTAATCCATTCCTTTGACTTGTAGTTGATTTTTCCTGTTTGATATCCAGATTGATTCTGAGCTACTTTTAGATCAGTACCTGAAGAGTCATTGTTTTGATTTCAGGAGGCATGCGTTGGTTTTTCTCAGTTTGTATTTGTGACAAGAGGGATAAACCAATGAACTCGAATACGACACCGGTTATGTTCACTAATTCCACGAACACTGAGGCTGAAGCTGGTAGATCTGGTTCTGAACTTAATTCACAAAATGTTTCTAACAGTAGCTCAGAATCCTCAAGGAGAAATTATATACAAAGCATGTCTGAAAGAGCTAGCAACCTCCGAGTTTTTACCGTGTCCGATCTCAAATCAGCTACTAAAAATTTCAGTCGAACTTTTATGGTCGGAGAAGGTGGTTTTGGATGCGTTTATAGAGGGTTAATCAAGAGTGCAGACGATCCATCTCAAAAAATAAAAGTTGCTGTCAAACAGCTTGGTAAAAGAGGATTGCAGGCAAGCTTTCTGTCTTGTGATATTGAGTAGCAAGCTTTAGTCTTGATCAAAGGTTAAGGCTAACTTAACTTTCTTTTTCATTTGAAAATATCTTTTTGAGCAAAGTGCATTAGCAATTCGAGGGAAGATAGAGAATGTTGGTGGGTTTTATAGAGTTTTTCTGCATACTTTCATGGAAGATATAGTGTATTCTTGTATTCATGTGTAAGTCTTAATGAGTATAACTTACATGAAACAATCGTCATTACTGAATGCATCATATATGGCTTTCATACACTACCTTGGCAAATGTATGTTCTAAACCTAACTGTTGTATGGCGAACAGCTACATGCTACTTTTGAATTGATTAGAGAAAATATGCTAATGTCATACTATAATCTTTCTTGTGAGGTTGGATGTGGAAACATCTCCCTAGTAGACACATTTTAAAATTGTGAGGTTGACGCGATACGTAACGGGCCAAAGCAGACAATATCTACTAGCGGTGGCTTGAGCTGTTACAAATGGTATCAGAGCTAGGCACCAAGCGATGTGCCAGCGAGAAAATTGGGCCCCAAAAGGGGTGGATTGTGAGGTCCCATATTGATTTGAGAGGGGAACGAAACATTATTTATAAGGGTGTAGAAACCTCTCCCTAGTAGATGCGTTTTAAAACCATGAGGTTGACAGCAATACATAACGGGGCAAAACAGACAATATCTACTAGCAGTGGGCTTGGGCCGTTAAACTTGTTCATTGTGATTGTGACTTTCATTGTGCGTGATCACAAGAAATCATCCCAGGATTAGTCGTTTGCATATTGAGTGTCTGCCCTCTTGTTTGCAGGGTCACAAGGAGTGGGTGACAGAAGTGAATTTTCTTGGATTTGCTGAACATCCAAACCTTGTTAAATTGGTTGGCTACTGTGCTGACGACGACGAAAGAGGAATACAGCGTCTACTGGTTTATGAGTTTTTGGCTAATGGAAGCGTGTTGGACCATTTATCGAGTCGAGAGACAACTCTTTCCTGGGCCATGAGATTAAGAATTGCCCGGGATGCTGCTCGTGGACTAACATATCTTCATGAAGAATTAGATGTTCAGGTACTTTTCTTCCTTTGTGTAAGCAACTTTTCCTGGGCTTTTGGGTCATGTATCTTTATTCCCTGAAGAATTTTGCAGATAATCTTCCGGGATTTCAAATCTTCGAACATTCTTCTGGATGAACAATGGAATGCGAAGCTATCGGACTTCGGACTCGCCAGGCTAGGACCTCCAGAAGGGTTTACTCATGTCTCCACAGCGGTATGCTCAAATAGTACCACCCCCTTTACTTAATATTAATCGAATACTGCTCAATTCCGACCACAAAAACCAAACACGCTCATGAGCACACACATAGATAAAAATCTGACACGCTCGTGAGCAATTTTTTATGCTGCACTGTCTGGAACTCGTACCACTGTGCTTAATAGGATTGTCATTGTAGAGTTCAGCTTTGGCTTTTGAGTTGCTATATTGGACAGAGTTATCTCAGAGTTGTAACAAATATACAAAAGTACTAGTTCCAATTGACAAGAATCATAATGCTGTAGTTTTGTTTAGAACTTTGTGTGTTTTCTTAGCACTCAATAAATATGACAACAATGCACGCCAGATTGTAGGAACAATGGGATATGCAGCTCCTGAGTATGTTCAGACTGGACGTCTCACATCCAAGACCGACGTATGGAGCTATGGGGTCTTCCTATATGAACTCATAACTGGTAGGGTCCCCATAGACCGAAACCGTCCAAAGAGCGAGCAGAAGCTTTTAGAATGGGTAAGGCCATATCTATCAGACACAAAGAAGTTCCAGCTAATACTGGATCCAAAGCTGAAGGGGAAATCACACATCAAATCTGCATATAAGCTGTCGAATGTAGCGAACCGTTGCCTTGTTCGAAATCCGAAGAATCGTCCAAAGATGAGCAATATTTTGGAAATGGTTAGCCAGATTGCAGAAGCATGGACAGAAACGGGAAACTCACAAGCTCCCTTGGAAACTCTTACATCATCAAAAACTCCCAAGCCTGCCGAGCCATGGAATGATAGAAAAACCATAGATTCTCGACATAGAAACAATGGTTGGTTTTCGTGTTTATCGGCACCGAAGCTTTTGAGAACGTGCTGATCTGATTGAAGTAGCAGTTAACGAGTTTAGCCGATCGATTTCAAGTGCCAGGTAGATGATAATCCTGTAACATATGCTTCTGTTTTTGTGCAGATAAAAGTGGCTAGAACAGCTGCTTTTCCATGCACTAAATCCATTTTTTCCCCTTCTGTTCTTATTTTTCTTGTTTCAACAAGTTGATAAGCTTATCATAGTTGTTTTATTGTTTAGATAGTCCGCTTGCTTTCTCTTGGCTTTTGAAGAACTCCATATAAGCATCTGTAACTCAGAGGCTGACCAATTGTAAACAATATTTAACATTACAATATACATAATAATACTTCTGTTTTTCTTCGTTTTTTAAATGAATGTTGTTTGATATATTATATTATTGATATACTCAAAATAATAATAAAATAATACACTTGTATTTAACTTGAAAGGATATACTCGAAATATAGATGAGACTCATTTACTAAATTGACCGTTGGAGTGACCATTTCAATTTTACTTTTTTGGATATTTTATTTTAATCAAAATTAGTTTACTTTCTCCAATCAAATATTAAAATCGATTTTTTTTTTTTTTTTTTTTAAATAGCCATAGCGATAGCTAACGCACGATGATATTAAAATATTATTCATATGAATTACAATAAATGATAAAATAATAATAATCATTTTAAAAATAATTTTTAACCATGGCAAAACTTCCAAGAATCAATTTCTTTGTCATTGCCACGTCATAGTATGAAAATAAATGTATTGGGAACCAATAAATGCTTCAAATTGCATTTATTTTATTTTTTTTACTTGAGTGGCAACACTGACCTAGAATTTATATAAATGGAAGATAATTTTTAAATATACCCATTTTACCCTTTTCAGATATTCGTGGATAAAAAGAATGTATTATGCGTACATTCAACCCAACCACCCGAACTATAAAGGTTGAGTTGGGTTCATTTTTCTAAACTCGAACTGAATCAGTTCGGTTTCAGGTTCGTGGGACAAGGCCTTCGGGTTGACCCGAGTCAAATAAAAATATATAAAATATATTAAAAATACTTCCTTATTAATTATTTATTATTTTGTTTAATTTCTTTTATATTATTTTGTTATATACATGTTTCTTTTTATTATTTTATTATTTTGTTTTATATTATTTTGTTTAATTTTTTTAATATTATTTTGTTATATACATGTTTGTTTTTATTATTTTGTTAAATTTGTTTTATATTATTTTATTATTTTGTTATTTTTAATTTCTTTTATATTATTTTATTATTTTATCCTATTTTGTTTAAAATTTGACCACTATAGTGTTAAAAGTTGAGTTGTGAAGAGTGTTGGATTAGTTGGGTCAAAAAAATCATTCAACCCAACTCAATCCGAACCATGTACTGGCAGTGATGCTTGGGATGTAATTATAAATGTGAAACATCATTGAACTAATTTACATTATTTACTTGAATGGTTTAATATTTTAATTATTTTTCTTAATTTCTTCTTAAATTTTTAATTATTCTCTAAGTTTTTTAGATGACATATGGTAATTAAAATCATGATCTAACCGTTTGTACCGACACATAGTAATTAAAAAGATTTAGTGCGCATAGTTTACACTAATTTTTGGGCTTAAAAATAAAAAATAAATAACACAATAAAATATAGAATTTATAGACGTGCCTGAACGTTGGTAATTTCACAACGCATTAACCGCACAGTAACTGTAAAATTTTGTCGTCGTCATCTATTGCATCCGTACGCTTCTTTAAATGTGCAGTTCGACAAGAAACTTCATTCTTCAACCTCGTTGATCGCTCTCACCTTTGATTGAACTGGAGGTCAGTGCTTGTTTTTATGCTTAATGTCATATTTTCACTTTCTGATATGCAACTGATTCGTTGATCCCATCCGCCGTTGTCTTAAGGTTCTTATTAAGTGCTTTGGTTCTTTAATCGTTCTTCTGTTCGTTTTTCAGTTGCCGTTATATCCTTGTTGTTGTTTATACGAGTTCTGTTGTTGTTTGTTTGATTTTGATTTATCCACTCTTGAAAGCTTTGGATTGGTTTGCATGGTTTTTTTTATCCTCATTCGAAGTTATAAATGTATAGAGGCGTTTCTCGTTTAGATCAAAATCAAAATATGTTTCGTATTTGATTTTTGTTTATAAGACTTGGATCTTAGAAGGTACAGTTTGAAGGAAGTTTCGAAATATCCACGAGAAATTATTGATGATTATTGATTATTGATTATTGATTATTGATCTCGTTTCGTGCTTTTAATCTAGTAGTTCGTCATTTTCCTCGTAGGTAGGAGTTGTTGGGTTAGGCATTTTGCAAACTTGTCAAACAGCTACTTCTCTGGAGGAGAAACTACCATTACTTGAGTAGTTGTGACGAGAAGATAGTTATGAACGATTATGATTCCGATGCGATTAGGTGGGGTCTTCGTCTTTTCAATGGGGACTCATCCTATAGTACCGAGTACTTTCATGACACAGCACAACATGATGTTAATTTCTATGACCATTATCATGGAAATCGTTGCAATAATGAAGTTAACCACGTGGAGAACGATGAGATTATTGCACACACTCTTCAGGAGGAGTTTACCCAATTAGAAATCGCAGCTGTTCAAATGCAGAAGAGCCCTCCCAAACATCTAATTTTGCGCTGGGTTGGAACAATCAGTCCTCAAGAAACTACAGTTCAGGCTGTTACAATACTAACCACCTTATTCTTCTTTCCGTATACATGTGTGATAATGATCCTTACAAGTGCGGACAATTCTTTTTTTTTTTTTTACAATCTGCAGAAAATGAGTCGGTTGAAGATGAAGTTGAAACTATGGAGCCTTCTAGTTCATGTTCTAGTCCAAGTCATGAAGATAATTACTATCTATACGGGCATGAGAATCAAGTAGATTGGAAAATGGATCAAATGATTCCAGCGCCTGTGAGATTTTCTATAGTTACATTTTTTTTTATTTTGGTGTAGTAGTTGAAATAAATTATAGATTCATTATGATGAAAATATTCCCTCTTAAGAGCGACCAATGTATGTCAGACTTTGTATGGAGCATGCTTCTTTGCAGGGACTTGTGACTGCTGACATCTAGGAATACTTTATATCTGGTTAGAATTTGGAATTGTTCTCCTCTTGATTGGGAAATATTTTGTTATGATTTCCGTAGGTGCTTCTCTTTTTTCTTTTTGGGAATTAGTTTGGAATATTTTGAACTATTCTTACATCATTCGTGCATGTGTGTTGTCAGTCTGAAATGGGCACTGGAATAAACATTTGGTAGACGTTTTCTCTGTGAACCATCGACATGATCATTCCCGCTATTACTGATTCTTGATTCCCAGCATGCTGACTTATGGTTTTCACTATTCATTTAATTGTTTGGACGAGAACCAAGGAATCTTGTCAAACAATATGCTTTCAAAGACTGATCTCTAGTTCTTTTCCAATCTGTGCTAACATATGTATGTGGCATGGTATTATCCATAGCTTTGTCTGTCTACTACAAAGTTGACTTAAAACTTCTCATGTGATTGTGCAGCATGTCCCAAGAACTAATGGTGAGATTCCTCCAATTGATGAAGTAACTTCAGATCATCAAAGGTTGCTGGATAGGTAATATCTCAAAAACTCTGTTTTGTTCAACATTGAATTTTGGGTATCAACTGTTATGTCTGTCCACTGCCTTTCCAATCCTAGGTTGAAGGTATATGATTTTGTTGAACGCAAGGTTAAAGGGGATGGTAACTGTCAGGTCAGTTGTTTCTCAGGCATGTGGTTCTGGTCACAATTGAACAGTTTGGATTACCTGACATACTCGTATCATTTTCGATTCTCAGTTCCGTGCCTTATCAGATCAACTATTTGGAACATCTGAACGCCACAAGTTGGTGAGAGAAAATGTTGTGAATCAGGTTTGTCATTGTTGCTCATAGCTTTACTGCCTTGCATCTTTCACATATAATTGACTACTTAACATGGTTTTCTATGTGTCTTTTTTTTCCATACCAGCTCAAGTCACACCGGGAGATTTATGAGGGATATGTTCCCATGGGATACGATGATTATTTGGAAAAGATGTCCATGTATTTTGAACTTCTATTTATTTCACTATTCTTCATCCTTCTTATCCAAATCTTCTATTTATTTCTCTATTCTTCATCCTTCTTATCTAATCTTATTTGGATAATTCTTATTTTGAAATGTTTACAGGAGTGGTGAGTGGGGTGATCATGTAACACTACAGGCAGCTGCAGATTGGGTACGGTCACCGCATCACCTTGTCTCCGGCTTTGAAGTGTTTTCTCTAGATAGTGTTGGAAGTTTAAAATATGTTTGTTGTTCGTTCATGCAGTGATCCCTAATCATGTCAATTACTTAAATAAAGTAGCTAGCTTGATATGAAAATGAAAAATTCATGTCCTTATGTCGTATAAGAACTCTGTCCATTCCTTCCCCAACCCCCCAAAACGAGAATATGTTTCCTCCCTCCATTCCTCCTTCCCCCTGATGACCGTTTTATGTTGCAGTATGGCGTTAAGATATTCGTTATGGCTTATTTCAAGGAAACTTGTTGTATAGAGATCATCCCTAATTTCCAGAAGAAAAAACAAGGTCTGAACTCAACTCTCTCATTTTTCTTTGCAACTCTCTCATCCCTAATTCATGCTCTGTTTTCCAGTTTTATTGTATCCTGTGTACTGGAAAAACAGTATCTCTTTCTAATAAACAAAAACCCTTATCTTTCGGATCAACAAGGGGGCATTTCCAACATTTAGGAACGTGAATCAATGTTACATGTATGTAATTTTGTTTGTAAAGAGCTTCACTTACTATTCCTCTGTGCAATATGCAGTCATTTTCCTGAGCTTTTGGGCAGAGGTGCATTACAATTCAATCTATCCTCAACGGGGTAACTATTTTTAGTCTTCTATTCATAGTGAACTTAGCTGCCTGATACTTATCACTCATATGTTATATATATGTAAGGTTCATTTCTTCAATTCCCTCAATTCCATAATTCATAGCTCCATATTCACTCGGATGTTTCCTCAGTTGCAGATGAGCAATCAAATGACTATAGAAAGAGGAGGAGATGGTGGATTTTTGGATCCAAGCATTGAAACTCTAAGCAAAAGGTGCATTACGACCCCATTTTTTTTACTAATAAGTTTGAGAGACTCGGTCTGTCTTTCTCTGGATCATATTCACAATTTTACATTACATAGATTAATAAAATTTGCTGGCTTCTTGCACTTTGTTAACCCTTGAATTACAAGCTCAACAGATGTAATATTATTGCTCTTGATCACATGTATTTCTATGAAAAATTATATGAATTCCCTTAAGACTGGGTTCTTTCACAGGGATGGATGATATATTTTGATGAAGAGTGTTTGAGGTTTCAAAACTCATACCAACCTGAACTGAAAGTTCCTTTTTTACAAAATTTTTATTTTAGTTGACAAAAAAAAGTTCAAATAATTAATTTCCAATGCCAGGAATGTTCCTGAACTGTCCCCATTTCATGCCCTACTGAGAATATATTGTAAGACCAGGTGGACAATGGTGGGTCCATTCAATCAGTTTAGCCAGAGAAGATATTTAAATTTAAAAAAAAAGAAAAAAAAAGAAGATGAATTTCCATTGCAGTAGAAGATTATACAGTTTCTTCATGCCTCTACAAATTCCAGCCATAACCAGAATGAGAGGAAGGTGAACGAAGAAGGGCTGGGAAAAGGGTAAGATTTCCATACTGCAATTTCAAACTGCTGTCTGTGTTCTGTTTGATCATTTCAATTTTCTATTGTTCTCTGAAGATCTCCTCCGCCTCATGTCTCTCCTCCGCCTCGTCCGCCGTCGCCGGCTGCAACAGAAGCGCAGTGAACGGCATGTACCGGTAATCATCCCCGCCAGCAGAGTAATTCATCCCGACCGGCTGGCATAAATTCAAACGGCAGCTCGGCGGTGGCATCCCGAACATTCTCTGCCCACCAGCAGCAGCAGCCACTGCCACCGGCTGAACCCTACAAGCAACCGATGGAGCAGACGAGGCCATAACCGGTGAAACGGTGGAGATCGGAGCAGCCGGAATAGTCCCAGTACCAGTGGCTGCGATGATAGAGGGCTCAGCCTGACGGAGAAGCCACTCGATGGTCTCGCCATCAGAACGATGGCCAAGCTCGCACGTCAACTGAAAGATGCGAGCGGCACAGAGAGCCGGCATGCGGACACGGCGCCCTCTGCCGTTGACCTTGGTGTGGCGGTCCCTCGAAGATGACGAGGACAAAGCGGTGGAGGATTTGCGATGGACGACGGGTTGCGTTGTGTTGGGCAGAGATGAATCAGTGGCGACTGCGAGTGAGTGAGAAGCGGTGGTCTGAGGATGGGGATCGGAGGAAGAGGGAAATTTGTGGGGAAGGATTTCGGATACCATAGTTGAAATAGTATGATTGATGATTTGATTTCAGAGGAAGAAATGTGAAAGGGGGATTTTGTGCTTGTTGATGTTAGAAGGGTGTTAGGGTTCGTTCCGATCGGAATGGAAGAGACTAAGGAGAAGGGGGATTAGGGTTCTGAGGTAATTTTATAAATACTGGCTCCCCATGTCATGGAGTCGGATAATCAGAGTGGGATGCATGGTGACTTGGACAAGCATCACCTTGACACATGGCTTCTCGTTTCTCGCTTCAGCCTGTGTAATGTGGGGTTCACTTATTATGTTCTATTCCCTATTAGTTAAATGATTCTTTTAGTAACTAATGGCTTAAGTTCCAATGTCCTACAAAATCCAATTTCATTACCAACCATTACTAACCACTTTAGAATGTGTGGGTCTTACTTAAAAATTAAAAAGTAAAGTTGCTGTTCACGTTTTATCTGCATCTTCCTGACCAAGATCTAGAAAGAAGGGGTTCGCTTTGTTGGGGATGAACTTGCAAAGAATCACCCGAGGACTTCCCTTGTAGAGTGGCGTCTTTTATAAGACTTAACTTTCCTTGAGAAGTGAAACTCAAAGGGAACTAAAAAGAAAGAGTTTGACTAGCTGCATGTGTCTTAAAGTGACGTCCCTAGATCCATGATGCCAATGAGAAGTTACACCAAGAGAGATTTGTAAAAAAAAAAAAAAAAAAAAA